TTCATAAGTGCGATTATAACGGGCCACTCTTCTGCTGTCGTGATCTTGTCTTTTTGGTTCATGGGTGGGCTCTATGACTGGGTTTACACAGAGAAACTTTTGTTGCTCATTTTCAGCAACTTCTCTTTTGGTGTTGCCATTTGCGTGCACACAGAACACTTCTTTTGTACACAATTGTTGTTGTCAGCTGTTAACGGCCAACTAGAATAACTCAGACGAGCGAGAGCACAAAGCGTGTTGCCCGAGCACGAGCAACTCGGTGCCCTTCCCTCTCCCTCGTCACTCCCTCTCCCACAAGTAACGAGTTGCCGACTGTCTGAACCTAGACTTTCGCGATCATGAACCAAAAATACATGGTACCGAACAACCAAGATTGATTGGTTTAATCCAAATCCCACCAAAAAACAATCAGCTGTTCAGCACAAAATGTAAACAAACAAGAAAATGCAACAACAATTTCAAGAAACAAGCAGCAACAAAGTTGATATGAAACTAGGAATGTTCGATATCGTATCGATTTTTATGAATATTAGGTTTGTTCGTCGAGCAAAAAATTTGTACGAATTTGTACGAATTATCACGATTTTTGCCCAAATCGCGTCCGTGCAGACCAAAAAATTATCCAACACTCAAAAATTGTGAGAGCAAAGTGACAGTTCTCTTGGAGAGATGTTGCAAATTCTTGCTGGAAAAAATTTCGGAATGCAATTGCAACCAGAGTCGATTTAAGAAACCCGACAGCTAGTACGATGAAGAAATTGAAATGTATGTTAAAGAAAGTCAGAACAACAAGAAATATACATGTATATCCTGTTTTTGGCCATCCGAACGAATTTTAAAAATTCTATAAAAAATGTTTATGTTTGGAATGCAACCGTGGACGCCAGCTTTGCGTTCGTGCAGAAATTTGCAAGTTTCTCAACATGAGAGAGAATTTGAGAAAATTTTTTTTACTCTCTGATATTTTGAGTGTTGGATAATTCTTGCTGGATTTTCGACGAACAAACCTATTATTATGAATAATAAATTTATTTTTCATATACAAAAAAGTGTATGGAAAAATACTAAAGTAGGTTTAATCAGCAGCTTGTGTGATTTATTTATCTGTTAAGTTTGGCAAACCGCTTGAGTCGACCGGCATGCCGTTTTAATTCTCAGTATATATACAAGATGCAAATAACACAATTAGGTGAGTTGATAAGCAGGTCTAACTATGTCAGAATATGATTTGCCAATGGAGACCGCTCATTGCTCTTCGAGAGCAATATATATCAGAGCTTATATCTTGCCATCTGTTGCCGGCAATTTGGTAGTTTGACAGTAAGTTGGTACTAAGCCAGAAAAGTCGAAACTAAGGCGACTATGAATAGTTTTAGTTGTGACTTAGAATAGTTTCGACTTAGGTTGGTGTTATGCAGAAATTTTGTTTGGCAAACTGCGTGCAATTGTTGTTGCAGCAAACTCGGAGAGAGCGAGTTTGGCATTCCCACGACAGCCGGTTCTACGTACCGGAATGACTGGGGTTTCACCCGACCAAGGGCTGTTGTTTCGGCGATCTAACCCCGTTTAGGTCGGCGAAGTATCTCAGAAGTTCTCCGTCCATAGGGCAACATTCATTACGCATTCTCCTACTCAGGGCTGGCATCGAGTCAAACCCTGGGCCAGAAATATACACCTGCTGTGTATGCCGAAGACGTTTACACCACAACTCCACCTCAGTCACGTGTAATGCCTGCGAGGGGTGGAGTCACCTCAGGGTCTGCTCGGGACTACGGACACGCAGACAGTGGACCACGTCGTACGTGGCCCCCTGTTGCTCAAATAGAGCAGCCTCCACGGCAACCCATAGTCCGCCCGTGCAGCCCCACACACTCACACAGCAACCACACACAGTCGCCACAACACAACAACATACCACAGCCACCACAGACCACATAACACACACAACCGCACTACCACCCACACGCCGCCGCCAACAACTCCTGGTTCCCCCTACAATCTGCACGGTATGTCAGACCAGAATATTCCGTAATGTGACATCAGTCAAGTGCAACACCTGCCTTGGCTGGAGCCACTTTAGGGCATGTTCAGGTCTGCGCACCACGCGAGATTGGACGGGGAACTTCGAGGGCCCGTGTTGCGCTGCTCGGTCGCTGACATCAATTGCGACGCCCCCCCACTACCACCACAGGGAGGCAATCACCTCAGCAGCACACACAGCCAACGGCGGCAAGAACATACACCTCACTCACACCCCACATCACAACACGTCTCCCGAACCACATGAAGCTCCTCCAATTCAACTGTAACGGGCTACAGAGCAAGATTGAGGAGATAACCGCCTTTATGTGTCGGCATGGTATATTAATAGCTGCGGTCCAAGAGACGAAGTTGCACAGCAATTCAACTTTGTTGAATTGTGACGGGTACAACGTGCACCGTCGAGATCGCGAGCGAGATAATGGTGGTGGCTTAGCGTTCATCACGCACCACACCGTGCAGTATCGTCTTATCGAAGCAGACATCGACCGCAGGGATACCACCCTAGAATGTCAGGGCATCGCTATCCGGTCAGGTGATGTCGAGCTCGAAATATTTAATATATACATACCCCCTGTCACCTGCTGCCCGGCAGGATATCACCCTGATATAGGTGCGCTCCTCAGAGGTGAAAACCGTATGGTAGTAGGTGACTTTAATGCGCACCACGATCTTTGGCACTCAAGCCTGTCAAACGATCGTAGGGGAACAGACTTGGCTGAGCAGATAGACGATTCGACATTCTGCACAATGAACGACGACGCACCCACCAGGATTATGGGTAACTGCAGTAGCTCGCCAGACATCACAATAGTCAGCGCTGGTCTGATAAACAGCATAACGTGGCGACCTATGCTGACTCTAGCATCAGACCATCTACCCATAGTCATCTCGATTGATAAACCAACCGACTTTGCCTCCGCCAAACACCGGACCTATGTCAACTTTGCTAAAGCTGACTGGAAAGGTTACGCGGAGTTTACTGAAAACACCTTCACATCGCTCCCCACACCAACCGACGTCCATCTCGGTGAACATAAGTTCCGCAGGGCTATCACTGCTGCTGCAGCTCGCTTCATACCGGCAGGGTGCATATCGGACCCACGTCCAAACTTCCCTGCCGAAGCGGCTGTTTTAGCAAATGAGCGTGATAGCCTTCGTCAGGCCGATCCCGGAGATCCCCGTATCAGGGATCTCAACGCGGAGATTCGGCAACTTGTAAACGTACATAAGCGGAAGAAGTGGGAGGAGCATCTGAAGACTTGCAACTTCACCTCTGGTGTTAGCAAGCTTTGGTCAACCGTGAGGTCATTGTCTAATCCGACGAAGCACGACGACAGAGTCGAAATTTCCTTCGGCGACCATGCTTCGTCGGACCCGGAGCGATGCGCGAGCTATTTTAGCCGGCAGTTCATACTGCATCCTCCGGTGGACAAAGCCAAGCGTCGAGTGACCAGAAGGCTGCACAAACTGCCAACAACTTGTGCCCCCCTTGCTTTCACTTGCGGTGAAGTTCAGGTGGCCATCGGGAAGGCGAAAGCCTCCAAAGCCATGGGTCCCGACGGAATATGCATGCTGATGCTGAAAAATTTGGGTCCTGCGGGGGTAGCGTACCTAACGGAGGTCCTCAATTTGTCAATGGCCACTCTCATCATCCCAGAAATCTGGAAGGTGGGGAGAGTGGTCCCACTGCTCAAACCGGGGAAACCTGCAAACAAAGGAGATTCGTATCGTCCGATTACACTCCTTTCCCCGGTAGCGAAGACACTCGAGGCCTTGCTACTCCCGTACTTCACAAATCACCTGACCCCAGCGAAGCATCAGCATGGTTTCCGTAAAGTGCACAGCACAACAACAGCACTTAACGCCATAAACACTCAGATAACTCGTGGCCTTAACCGTAACCGTCCCTGTGAGAGAACGATTCTAGTAGCGTTGGACTTGTCAAAGGCGTTTGACACCGTCTGCCATTCCACGCTACTAGAAGATATAGAGGCCTCCTCTCTCCCACAGAGGCTCAAACGGTGGTCGGCAAATTATCTAAGTGGTCGACATTCGTCGGTAATGTTCAGAGACAAAACGAGTAAGCAGCGAAAAATAAAACAGGGGGTTCCTCAGGGTGGTGTCCTTTCCCCGCTACTGTTTAACTTTTATATTTCAAAGCTCCCTCAACCACCAGAGGGAGTCTCGATTGTCTCCTATGCCGACGATTGCTCGATTATGGCGACTGGGAATGGAATTGATGACCTGTGTTCGAAAGTAAACGGCTATCTCTCCGAACTTTCTCGCTTCTTCACTGCAAAGTGTCTAGCCCTCTCCCCTACGAAATCCTCCGCGACCCTGTTCACAGCCTGGACGAAGGAGGTCAGGCTACCGCTGGGGATTCACGTCGATGACACACCAATTCCGACGGTGAATAACCCCAAAATACTCGGAGTAACATTCGACAGCCTGCTCTCCTTCTCTGCGCACTCAACCGCTATTGTCAATAAAGTACAGAGCCGCAACAAGGTCCTCAAGTCGCTAGCCGGCAGTACTTGGGGCAAAGACAAAGAAACGTTGCTGGCAACATACAAGGCAATAGGCCGGCCGGTTTTGAACTACGCAGCGCCAGTGTGGTCGCCTGGGACTAGTAGGACGCAGTGGACGAAGCTACAGACCGCACAAAACACCGCACTGAGGACAGCGACGGGATGCCTCTTGATGACGCCTGAACACCACCTGCACGGCGAGGCGCAAATGCTCCCGGTAAAGGAGCACAATATAATGCTCTGCAAGCAGTTCCTGATCGGGAGCCACAGAAGTGGCCACCCGAGCAAACAGCTGCTTGCAGAGGAGCCCTCGCCTAGGCACGTCAGGAGGCATCTATATGAACTAACGGACGAAGTCCAGAGGTTCATTAAGCAACCTCTGGACCCGACAGCTTACAGACAGGCCTTGAACGGCATTCACAGGGACTCAGTCTCGAGTTATGTAGACTCTAGACCTGTGAATGTCGTTCTGGGCACACCACCCCCGGACATTGACGAGACGGAGCTTCATCTGCCTCGGGAGACGCGCACTACACTTGCACAACTTCGCTCCGGCTACTGCAGCAGGTTAAACTCCTACTTGAGTAGGCTGAATGAGGATGTGCCGAACGAATGTCCGGCATGCGGAGAGACCCCACATGACTCGAAACATCTCTTCGCATGCCCGGCAAACCCGACATCCCTAACGACCTTGTCCTTATGGGCAAACCCCGCAGAAGCTGCACGCTTCCTAGGGTTGCCGTTAGTGGAACTTGACGACAACGACTGAGATACCAACCGATCTGGGCGGGGTTGTTGTAGCCGCTACAACAACAACAACAGAGCGAGTTTGGCGACTCTCACAGCAAACTAATTTTGTTTGGTCAAACTGCAGCAAATTCGGTGTTGTCATATACAAAAATTTTAAATTGTGCGCGTTATGTACATCTGAAATTCTCATTTCGTGTTGGCAATAGCCATGAAAACCATAATGAACGTGCATCCCTGTGCCAAACTCGACATAACCACCTCCGAGCAAACTAAGCAGCCGCCATTTAATTTGGCAAACAAAAGTTTGTCTGCATAACACCGACCTTAGTTGCGCCAATGAATTGCATTCACGCAGCTCTGTCGACGATGATCGTCCAGCAAAACATCGATGTTAACTAACGATGTTTTGAAAATATCGATGCATCGTTTGCATCCCTATTTCCTACAAAATTTCGCGGATAGCGTGCGCTTTTTATGTTCATTGTGTTTATCTCATATAATTAATTAAGATAACCTAATAAAAATATGTCTTTATATGTACTGGACTCTACAGGTGACACAAATTTGTTAGAACGTGAATCCCACGGCACAGCTACGGTTGAGAACAAATTGTGGCGAACGTTGGAAGAAACCACCAGACAAAGCCAACTCGAGGTTATAAAATGCACGGCATTATCTGATGAAAGCAGAGATAATGAAGATGATGAAGATTATTTTGGTAAGTTGATGAACTGAAATAATGCATTATTTCATATATGAGTAATCTGTAGGTTTGCCACCCCCCAACGTGGACATTTCGCAAATAATACGGGAGGAGCTTCCGAAGCTAACATCACCCAAAACTAAACACGAGGAAGAGTTAGATAAACTAACGGAAAAGATAGATGCAACAATACTAAGAATGGCGGAAAATCCTAAGAAAAATTCTAAAACAAATTGTAAAACCATGGATTTCTCCGATTATAACCCAGCAACCGGCAAATTTGATGTGGAGCACCAAGTAAAAACAGATGTTGGGAAGGAAATGGCAAAATCGCAGTTGGTGGACGGTTTTGGTAGACTTAAAGAGCTTCCATTTTTTAATAAAAAGAAGCTTCGCGATATCAAAAGGGTAAAATTCATAACAATATTCCTATGTATGTATGTATTAACTACTATAAAAATGATGACATATTCGACATCTTAAGTCTTTACCAAGAAGCATTGCCTAAAGAGGGTTTCATACGAAAGACTCGAACATAATGCTTAGCAAAACAGTAGTTTCACCCGTTGTAATCTTAGTAGTTGTGTCAGAGCTAGTGACAACTGCTGTAAGGCCAGCGGGACAGTAATGTTTACAATATTAGACTGTCAACGGCCAGATAGTTATATGCCGGTGATTTAAATTAGAACACACATATTTTTCTTTATTATTGAAACGTAATGTTATGCTAGTATTAAAAATGAAACCTTCCTAGATGCCCAACGGTACACATTGATGACCTCTTTAGTAACCTGAATAATATATGTACATATCGGTCTTTTTATATGTACCATTTGGGGAGTTTTTACAAAAATTTCTATTATTAATTTCACCAAGATTGAACGTTCCAAGACTAAAGGGCCTGGATGGTATAATTTGCCTGCCACAGAGCAAACAGAAGAAACCACAAATGAGCTAAAAATTCTACAAATGCGTTCTGTCCTAGATCCAAAACACTTTTACAAGAAAAACGATCTTAAAGTTCTGCCTAAATATTTCCAAGTAAGTCTCAATTGCAATACTATGATTTTATACTTACGTATACATATCCGTACTTATGTATACTAACCGTCAAAAATACCGAAGAAAAAAATGTCGCTTACATCTTGTAAATACTAACTTAACTGTTCCAGATCGGCACTGTACAACATTCGCCTTTGGATTACTATAGTGAACGTGGCACGCGCCACAAAAAATGTTCATTGGTGGATGACTTGCTAGAAGATGATACTGCTAAAAATTATACAAAACGAAAATTTAAGGAAGTGATTGTTCGTCGTGAAAAATACGCACATCGAAAAGCTATGCAAAAAATGAAAAAACAGAAGAAAAATAAGTCGTAGGTTATGCTTATGAGTTTAATTTTTTTAATTAAGTAGAAATAATTATGTAAATAAATAAAAGTAAACATTTTGTACATAGGCATATTATTTCGCTTCCTGTTTGTCTGGTCCACTTATTTCCAGTGTCCGAATGATATATTCAGCTAACTGTTGATAGCTTTTGGCGTATTCAGTCCCGGAATATTTGATCACAGGGGGTACACCCTCATCACAGCACTCGGTAATATTTCCATCCAATGGAATGGAAGCCAATATCTTCGTGCCTATTTTTTTTGTGAAATGTTCTGTTGTATTTTTAAAAATTTCCAAACGTGTTTGACAATTCCCGCAAATGGCATGGCCCATATTTTCTGTTAAGCCAATAATCGGAACTCCCAGTTTTCGATACATTTCTGCGCCACGGAGTGTAACTTCTAGCGCGGCCTTCTGCGGAGTGCTAACCAGCAGGACACCTGTAATAGGAACATTTTGAGAAAGCGATAGATGCACATCTCCAGTGCCAGGTGGCGTGTCTACAATGAGTATATCAATTGGTGCCCACACTGCTCCTTTCAATAGTCGTTGAACTGCTGACATTACTAGTGGGCCACGCCAAATTATTGCATCAGATTGTCTGGCGAGCAGTCCCATGGATAGACATTTAACACCATAATTGATAGGTGGTATCATTAAATTTTGTTCATCAATCAAAGGCTCTTCATGAATATTCATCATCAGAGGAACGGACGGTCCGAAAATATCTGCATCCAATAATCCAACGCGTTTTCCCTTGTTTGCAAGGCTAACAGCAAGATTTACTTAAGAAAAGATCATTACAATTTAGCCATTTTCCTTTTAAAGTTTTTATGCCACATTCATACCGGCTACAGTTGATTTACCTACACCCCCTTTCCCTGAAGCAACTACCAAAATGTTCGCTACTCCAGGAAGAGGAGTTCGTTTTGGCAGGCCACGTGCCATCAGCTCCTTCTGTTTTGTAGTCAGTTGGGTGGCTAGAGAGCGCTAAGGATTATGTGTTATTCTGGACAAAAACTCTCTTATTTGATAACAAAATACCTTGCAAAAATGGAAAAATTGCGTCCTTAGCATTTTCCGTCAAATATAGTGAGTCAAAAACAATAATGTAAACAATAATCAGCTGTTTAGAACAGATCCCCATTTAAAAGCAAACATGTCCCTTACAATTTGCTGGGTCGATTGCGAATAGCAACGCAACCACGGTCGGATACCAGCTGGCAACGTTCCCACGACAGTCGGGTCTATGTAACCGGAACGACCCAGATTTATATTTGGCCAAGGACTGTCACTCCAGCAACACTCCCCAAAAAGTCTTTGGGGAATTTGTATGCTGCTACAATAACAACAACAACCAGCTGGCAACGCACCTGGAAATAAAATTTTTATTACGAATGGCAACTCGTCAGTTGCTGTAGAGTTATCGATAATTGAAATTTGACAGTTCGGCAATCAGCAAGTGGCAGTGCTGCTGCTGTCACTTCAATTGAAGTTTTTCACTTCACTTTGGAAGCAGCATTGCCGTTTTGCTTAAATTTAAGCAAAATTGATTAATTTTTTCCTGCGTGTTAAAATGTTAAACTTTCCTTCGTTTTGCTAAATTTGTTTATTAAAATAGTCAAAAAGGACAATTCCTCTAAAATTCATAGTCAGAAGAGTTACTATTTCAATCAATTTTTCAAATTTATTTTGGGAAGACTGTCATCGAGATCCCATATAAAGTTCCAGTAAATGTTGCTCTACGCAATTCTCGATCTGCGGTTGTCGCATTTTCAAACCTCCGAGTGTACTTCTGCCATGAAATCGCTTCTCGTAAACACCATTTGCCGTTCGGAGGCGACTTAGAACTTTAGGTCCCTTCATTTTCGTGACAAGATCAACACGCCCTTAACCATTATAGGAGTATGTGTTGAGACCCTGAAAGAATGTGTAATAGTTTTCAAAATAAGCAACTGTTAGACTATAAGATCCTTACCTTTGGCGACAAAACTCTGCCTTAGATAGCGTTTACTTACTTACTTACTCAGTAACTACAAGCATTTTTCGTTTTATTAAGACCCGTTAAATAAGTTGCTTAATTTTAACGGGATTTGTTGAAATTTTTGAAAGATTTTGTTAAATTTTGTTTTACGGACGCGGCAACACTGTTTGGAAGTCTTGACTTCGTCACTTCATTTTACTTCGTTTTTTTTCACTTTCCACATCTTAGATTTACCTTCAAAATAAATAAAACTTGCTTTGAAATAAATGATTTATTTAACTAAAATCAACAAACTTTTGCTAAAATCCTTTAATTTTTCTCTAAACAAAATGTATATTTCCTCAAACAAAGACTATCTATAGTGGCAACGACCTTTCGAAAGTGCAAAAAAAAATAGAACCATTCGATAGTATCGATAGTTTTACAGCTCTACTGTAAACAGCATGGCAACACTTTGTTGCGTTTTTCATTCAATCTCTTCTTTTCTGCACGAAACGACTGAAAATTCCTGTGAATATTATAAGATCTAAAAAAATACGAATAAATAGAATAATTTGCGTTTTATGTGCGAACTATTTAATAAACTATATTCAGTTACAAAATTTAATTTGTTTCTAATTAATTGTGACAAGTTTTGCAAACGAATTGTGAGGTGAGTGTGTGTACGTGAGGTGTATGTTCGATGTTTTGTTTCAGCAGTGGCAGCAGTAGTGGCTGAGACAGGCAGAAAAAGCTGTAATATAGAATCATCGGCGGAGGTGAGGAGCACAGTGTAAAATATAAGCTCAAGGAACGGATGAATGATAGAAAGCGAAATGCGAGATGGTCAAGTGTAAAAAGCAAATACCAATAAAGAGATATGTAATCGATCAAACGAAAACAGAAAAATTACAGGCAAATAAAAATGTCTAAAAAACCAGGAAGAAAAACTTTATACAGTAAACATTGCCAAGTATGTTTGCCCAAAATTGTTGAAGAAGGAAAAAGGATAATATTAGAGTGTTACTAAATAAATAGGGGGGGAATAAAGTGTTAACAGCAGTAGTTGTCCATAACAACGTTTGTGTCACAAGTGCAATTAAATTCAATTAAGCTATTTAAAACTAAATTAATGGTATGCAATGAATTTTTTGTACATTTTTAGCTGAAATGAGAGTGCTTACCAAGTGCACGGGTGATTCTTATAGCCGTCCAAGCTACCACCCAGTTTATTGGTTGTTACAATATGTACATATGTACTTGTGCTTGTGCCACCATCGCTATATAATATTTCTATATCTATTGTGCGTAATAAAGAATTTCACATTGTCATTCTGTGCAGCAGAAAAACGCTACGCTTCAACGACAACATAGTGATCGCTCGTTCACACTGTCTCCAACATTAAAATTATAGCCAGTTAGCAATCGGACTGTCCTATTGTAATTGACTCCATCGAAAGACACGGGTGGAGTGCAACGGGCAGCACAACAACCTTAATGAGAGTGCAATAGAAGCGGAAATATGCTGAACGAAAGCAACTTTATGATGTGTCTTGCAGGCACGGAACTGGTCAGTGAACGAACTACATGTTTTACGCTTCAAATTGCACATTCCACGCTGTAGGATATTATAACAAAATCGCATACTATTTTTTTGCACAAATAGCATGGATTTTATACATTATTCAGAATAAGTAATTTTTACACTTTTATTAAATCCATGTCTTGCTAATTTATCGCTTTGTTTTTCTTATGGGATTAAATTATGCACAGTTATGGGCGATTTGACCTACATTATGGTGGAGTACCAAATACATATGTATATAGCAAGCGTCTGGTTTTATTTGTTAAAATTTGCTTTTATGAAACATAATTTATGTTGTATGAGTAGATAAAAGTTATTGAGGGAAAACCTTCATTTTAATATGGTTAATTACCAATACCCAGTTTCTAAAATGTTCAGGATAACGAACAGTTTTTGAATACTATGTCTCAATATTCTTTCATTTGTATGTATGTATGTATGCTCACATTTTTACTCAGCCTCTTGATGTTTTTAAATATAAAGATTTCTCAACTTACATTTAAGTTTCAATGGCTTTGGCAATTGCGGTTTCCTAAAAATTTAGTTGTTTGCATGACACCACTATACATATATACTATACATATTTGAGTTATATCGTACATACATATAAATGAATGCATATTACGTACATATGGGTAGGAGTGTGGGCAATTTAGTCGTTCATAAAAATTAAGGATGGTTGTTTGTAAATATGTATACAGTCAAATATACAGTCAATGGCATTCCCCTTCGAAAGCTGAGGGGCTTGCTGAACTAACCTCAAATCAGCTATATATTTATATGTATGTATGTGCATATACTATACATATGTAGGCTTCTTTATATTTTTCGAATGGAATCAGGAGTTGTGCACCTTTCTATTGGTACTTTTGAAGTTGAAAACACATTTACCTGTATTGCACTGCCACTACTATCCAACTACCACCCCCTGCTTCTTTAAATTTAATTTGTTAAGAAATAGTAAAATACTTCACGTTTGATATTTTACTTATCAAGTTTTCCCTTCACTGTAGGTATGGTTTTAGCCAGTAACGAATGGCTTAACACTTGCGAAGATGAACAAAAGTCGGCTTCGGGGAATTCACAAACAGCGTCAACAACAACTGCAACCACCGCCGCACCCGCGCCACCAAACCACCAGATTGCCGGCTCCACGCCAGCTTCCACAACGACACAGATTGTAACTCCAATAACATCGAGCATAATCACATCAGTTACATCAACGCGCATATTCAGCGTAAATAACGAAATTATGTCGGAAAATTCAGCTAACGAAGCACATCAGCCAATGCAGCAACCGTCCGTTAATCAAAAGAGCAGCATCAGCGATGGTCTGCCAGCGGCAGTTAGTCTAAATGATGTGAATACCCCGAATGCTCAAGAGTTTGTCAATAATAATAGCGAAGTATTGAACTGTGATACTTCAAATGCAAATTCAATTTCTAATGCAAATGCCAACAGCAATATTGATGCTAGCATCAGTGGTAGCTGTGGAGGTGTGAATGCAAATATCAACACTAATAATGCCAATTTGTATTCCAATCCGAATTCAAATGCAAGTACCCTACAATCCGCTATTGTACGCCAATCGAATGCAGGCAATCACATGCCGCTGAGCTGCCCCATTACTCCGCAAGCGCTGAGCAGCGCACTGCAGTCGGTTATGAACGCTAGCAAAAATGCCAGTATTTCTGGTTCACCAGCCGTCGGAAATTTACCAAACACTTTCCTCAGTACATTGGATATAGGGCTAGGTAATAATGCTTCACTACAACAGACCGTAAAAGAGCTCAGTTCGGCTTTCTGCGCTGGTCTGATTGAGTCACAATCGAATATGGCCAATAACGCCACAAATGTTGCACAGAATGTAGGTAGCAGCACCAACATAAGTATGAATCTAGAATCAACGGAAAGTAATGGCCAGGCGAAAATTATTTTGTTCTGCGAGGCTAACTCGCACCCCTTCCAGACACGCACCATATTCCTCACGCCAAACATTGAATGCAAAGTAGGACGTTTAATAGCGAAAAGTAAAGCTTCCGAGTCAAACGCAATATTCGATTGCAAGGTACTATCGCGCAACCATGCAGTGCTGTGGTACACCGATGATGGCAAATTTTGGGTTAAAGATACAAAGTCCTCGAATGGCACCTTCATTAACGAAAATAAACTAGGCAATGAGGCTGCTGAGCTACATTTCGGCGATATCGTCAAATTCGGCGTCGATGTACTGGAAAATTCGCGCAAAGAAGTCCATGGTTGTATTATCGCTTTTGTAAAGTTATATTTGCCTGATGGCCGTGAGGCGATATCAATCGATACGACCACCCAACGCTCTCAGTACTCTGGTGAAGGCCGTATCAGTTACGAGGAAATGCACCGCTTGAACTTGTACATGCAAGAGGTGTCGCAGCGGGAAAAGGCGCTAAAATCGAAATTATTCAATATTCAAAATGTTTTGGATGCCACACGAAAAAATTCGGCCCTGTGCTGGCAGTCTCTCATTGCTGAGGATCAGTTGCTTCATCGCATCAATTCGTTGGAGAAAAAATTGCAGATTATGGAGAAGAATGTGCCAGAGAGCGTGTTGCGAAATGAGGTAAGCGAGACTTATCTAAGTTGAGTTATGTTTAATTACTTTAATTTAACTCATAAATCAGTAACCATTTGGTATGTTTTATGATCGAAGCTTCCCTACAAGAAAGATGAGACCAATTATTTGATAACTGGAACAAAAAAAACTGAAAGCGGTATAATTCTAGGTAGTTGATTTGTAGTAAAAATGGTTCAAGTGTAATGCTGTGTAGGGCAATTACATTTTAAGAAGATCGGATGTAATGCGCAATGTATTAGTTGTTTATTTATGTTATTTAATGTAAAAGGATACATTTGACCTTCTTCTGGGTTCAATGATATTGTACAGAAAGGAACAATTGGTCGCAGCCATAACGCGAAATGTGAAATGTAAATAGCAATTCGCGTGTCCAAATTAGAAACTAGGTACAAGAATTCCCTGTTTCGTGTGAAGAGCAAAGCGTACATAATAATAATAATAATAATAATAATAATAATAATAATAATAATAAT